AAACCTCTGCAGCTGAGTGACAACTGAACTTCATTTGCTGTGATACAGTCAGAGCAGCTGCTTCACCTGCCTGGACAGAGGCAAGAGTGCGGCCTGCTGAAAACCTACCATGAGCTACCGCTGGCACCAGAGGAAGACACACCTCAGTCACTAAGCACAGTCATATATACCTGGATCAGAAAACTCTCTTTGTATTTGCTGTGCCCTTTTATGTTTGTGCATTGTTTTTAGAAGAAGTTCTGGAAAATGGTTCATTTGAACCAGTAAACTGGGTCATGCTGGGCCTGTGGGCTGGTAAAAAAAAAACAGGAACAGTCACAGAAAACCTGATCAGTGCCTGAAAGGTAAAATGTAAATGAAAGCAGAGTAAGCATACGAGGCCTGCAAGCAGCTGGCAGCAGTGGAGAACAGCACCACGTTTCTGATGTTCAGCGTTAAAGGGAAGAAACTGACGTGCGTGTGTTGTCTTCTTATGAAACCTACGCGTTGCCAGGTTGTCTTTCTTTTCCCCCCTATCTCGTGGCTGTGGACGGGGCTACCAGTGAGCCAGGTGAGACCTTGGAAGAGGAAACTGCTGCTAGTTTGCATCACTGAGCACGAAGCTCTCACTGTGTGTGTATGAACAGGAGTGTGAAAAGCTGGAAGAAAGTACAGTGCTTGTGACGGGTTTATAAAGCCCTGAGCATCACGAAGACGCTAGCACGGGGACACACTTCTTCTAGAACATCCTGATTTGTTATTTACTGGTGCCTCTGTTCATTTAACAGCCAGTAAAAAGGCTAAATGGCCTCTGCACAAAAGCAGACAACAATACAGCAACGACTGGAAAAGCAGAACCAGGTCTGTTTGGAGTCTCCTCAGGAGGAAATAAGACAAGCAGTGGGTCAATATGAGCTTATTGTTTGGAGAGTGAGAAGACAGGACATGACTGTATTGGTTCTACAGTGGTCAATATCGAAGTCTTCGCCAGGCCGGAGACAAAGATGGTGGGACCAAGGGAGCCAGGAGTGGCAGTAAAGAGACAACAGTATATCAATTGGCGCTATTCTGAGTCTGACGGGAAGAATCAGGCTCCGAGACGGAGGAGGAAAAGGAGGAGTCACAGAGGCATTTAGGGCCCGTTCACTGCACAAGGGCAGTACAACATTAGAGGCAGAGACGTGGGCAGTGTTTCTGCTTTAACAGCCAGGGAGCCACATATCCAATGTATGCTTTTTAAAATTCAAATACATTCAAAGTCTCAAATCAATTATGACACAGGCTTTGAAAAACAAATAACACTGCTGCATTGCTTCTGTGCAAAACCATTTATTTCCTTTCTGATCTGATGCCAAGTCAAATCCAGGCTGGTGTCCCCAACACAAACGCCAATTCTTTCTGCAAAAAAAATGAGGGAAAAGAGATGGGTCTGCAGGTTTACTTGTGGTTCCTAGAGTCCACAGAAGCAGAATGGGAGGCAGAGCCTTTAGCTATTAAGCTCCTCTCCTATGGAACCAACTCCCAGTCTCAGTTCGGGAGGCGGACACCCTCTCTACCTTTAAGATTAGACTTAAGACGTTCCTTTTTGATAAAGCTTATAGTTAGGGCTGGATCAGGTGACCCTGAGCCTTCCCTTAGTTATGCTGCTATAGGTCTAGACTGCTGGGGGGCCCCATGATGCTCTGAGTTTCTCTCCTCTCCTCTCTCTCCATCCAGCTATATCCCACCATTATGCATCATTGACTGTGTGTGTCCTCTCTCTCTCTCCCTGTACCTTTCTGCAGGTTGCCCTGGCCCTGGAGCTTTATGTTTCTGATGAGCAGCCACCGGCCACATCAATCTGCCCGGTTGAGGCAGAAGGCCGCCCACCAAGAGCCGGGGGTTTCTGTCGGAGGTGTATTCCTCCCCGCTGTCACCAAGTGCTGTTCAGGGGGGAGTTGGTGGGTTTTCCTCCATTATAATAATAATATTAACAGTAAGGTCTATGTAAAGTGTCCTCAGACGACATTCATTGTGATTTGACACTATATAAATAAACTGAATTAGCGAGCATGGTAGTCTGGCTGCTACAGTGTTATGTGGAGTGTTCATCACATTCTTATGCAAACACAGTTAATAAGAGCAGATTAACACCACTTGAGTCCAGGATGTTTTGTTTCCCAGTGAGCCCAGTCGTCCTGTCCCCGGGAGGGCAGCATGAGTCGACCTAATCCTCCCCCCCACAGCTGCTCCCTCCAGCTGCATGGACGCCACCACAACCCTGCTCGCGTGTCACTACAGACACATTAAGACAAAGGCGTAAGGAGCTGAGCTCAGGGCATCTGCAGGTCGACTACTACCGGCATGCGATGGTAAAATAATAGTGTCAGAATCAGAATCAGCTCTACTGGCCAGCTGTGTTGAACACATGAGGAATCTGATCCCAGTGCAGCGGCTCTCACTGTGTATGTACAATGTTCTCCCATAAGGCAACACGTAAACAAGATAAGACTGAGAGAACAACTACAACATTAGTGTACACAGGTTCTGAATTAAACCTGATTATTCTCTCATGTCAGCCACGGTGGCAGTTACTGCTCTGTGTTTACGCCAAACAAATCAGAACCAACCTGTCAGCTTAGAGCAGCAAATGGAAAAACTTTTATGGACTAAAAAGAGAATGAAAACAATTTTACTGTTTTGCTAATGCCATAGAACACAACAAGCTGCCACTGCAAAACAAGTTTGACTCTGAATCCAGCTAACAGCGGCCTCTTTGGAGCTTTCGACCTCTGACCTCTCCTCCGAGAAGGTTGGAGTGGCACAGCTGAACCACAGGAGGGGAAGCTGGGAAATCCCCTGAGCCACACAGCAAGAGACGCACAGTCAGCTACACCGCATTTACAGTCATCTACATACAGACGGTCTGCAGTGACAGCTGAGAAGTCAAAGTGAAGCACGATGGGATTCGGGTGACACCAGTAGAAAACCAAGGCTCCGTGCACCTCCGTTCACCCAGGCACCACATCAGACAGCACGACTCACCCTCAGTGTGTCTTCAGGCTATTTTTGGAGTTTCCTGCATGTCTGAACATGTGTGACTCTGAGCTGCATCAACAAGTGCACTGAAAATAAGCCATGACTCAAACGTTCTATGTGAACAGCCCCACGTGCCTGGTTTCTATGTTTGTGAAGTCTCAGTTTTATTGTGTTGTGTTACTGGCTAGCCTTGTGACCTGCAACCCTACAACCAGCCACGTCTCCTGTGGCATGTCTACACTGCAAGGCTGCAACAACACATGTGTGGAAGGAAACGTTGTTGTAGCCACATTGTGTATTGGCCTAATGACAAAGTGTTCATTTACAGACACATTGATACAGAACATGTCAGTAAAACTTTTTTCACCACAATATCTGATCTTGCAGCACAATATCCACTTAGCTGCATTTCCACTATTGGAACCTTGTTAATTAAGTACAGTTTGATTCAAAAGGAAAGTTCTGAATGTAATCCAGGCAAACAGATTTCCTACAAAACTGCAGTGTAGTTGTGTCCACACACGAGGGACTGGGCTGCTATAAACGACCTCAGTGTTATGGTCTGAACCCTGTCGTCTTCTCTGCTCCGTTCACAGTATTAACGGCTCCTGGGGACTTAGCCACGAATGAGCGAGCTGGTAGGGAAATATATTTCAGCGCCAGGTGCTGATGTGAAGAGTTTTACCTCCCTGCACTTGAGAACTTGACACTCATCATAAAATAAACGGTAAGTTAACTGTAAAACACATCTGAGGGTTTCACTGGCGTTTGTATCCCGCTAGAGACTTTAATACACTGACGATCAGTCGTACAGTGAATAATCCACTTCAGGTGAGAGTTTTCAATCCACACACACACACACACACACGGTGCCACGGCTGCTGCTGTTCATCCACTCACTGCACAAATGAAGAAGATGTTCATGTTAAACTATGACATGTTAAACCAACAAATCTCAGACGGAGGGTGTGGAAGACAGTCTCTAACCCTGCTGCTCACTAACTGTCTCTCTGTCGCTGGTCAAGCCACAGGACTCTTACATTTCAAGGTGGCAGACCTCTGGCAACCTAAGAAAGTCCAGGAAAACCAGGAAGAGTTCAGTTATATTACCTACTCCTGCTGATGAATGACAGCTGTGTGCTTCACTTTCTCCCCACCTGCACCATCAACATGCACACGCTGTCGGATAAGGTTTGAACGGACGGTCAGTAAAATGTAAAACGGTCAGTAAAAAAGACTTAAAGTCTTTGTTTCCTTTTGTAAATCCTGGTGATGTTCAGCCTGTTCAGCAAACCTTTGAGGCCTGCTTGTTTAGTTAGCTAAATATAAAAGACTAAAATGGTTTTTGTAAATTACACACCTGAAATCACTGTGGTATGAAAGAAAAGGAGATGATTTAGGATCTTATTGTTCACCAGTAGAGGGCGCTGAACATATTTGGAGCTATAGTGTATTTCAGGACGTGTGTGTGTGTGTGTGTGTGTGTTGAACAGCTCCTGGTGCTGAAGGCTTCGCACTCAGCAGTCAGACCAGGCTGGTGTCACAAAAAACTGCCTCATTTTATTATTAAAACGATCAAAAATAAATAAACACTGAATAAATGAAAAAAGAAACAGTGACTCGGAACAACACACAGCCCAGGTCGACCAACAAATTATCACCACTTCTTATTCAACAACACTGTCATGTGCAGTTAACTGACAGGGAAACATGGGTGTCAGCTGCAAATGACCTGCCGACTTCTTTACTTCTTAAAATCAGAATCGAGCATAAATATGAAGGAAAAACTGGTGGAAAGATACATGGAAGTGAAACCTAAAATATCACAATGCAACAACGAGTTTTCCTTCACAGATGAGACTTTCAGTGAACACCAGGCTGGAAAGTGGAAGAAGAGAATAAACTGAAGGAATGTGAAAAAGGAGGAGGATTAGGGAGAGGTGGCAGATGTCGAAGGAGAAGAAGATTTGTACTTATTTTAAAGAGGACAGGTGAGGTCTTACCTGGTTGGTAGAGAGCTGTGCATTCTGGGAGATAAGCAGCTGGACCAGGATGTGGAGGCCCGAGGTGAAGAGGCCGGCCAGGATGGCGCAGGTAAGCGGCAGCGGCAGCATGCTGTAGGTGGCGAACAGGGTGAACAGCACGTATCCCACCCCGTCCCCCAGCAGCCCGTAGCCGAGCCCGGCCGCCAGAATCTGCGTGGCCATGGCTACCCAGGTGACCACGCCGCTGTACTGCAGGTAGCTGTGCGACGTGGTGTCCTTCCGCACCACCACTAAGGCACAAATGACTACTTCAATGCCTGTGAAGAAGCCCAGGAGCGTCCCTTTGATCGGGTCCATCGGAGAGGATGCCAGGGTGAGGTGCAGCACCAGCAGGGTGAGCTTAGTCACCACGTCCAGGATGTTCATCACCACCACCGACTTGCGCCTCTGGCCCAGAAAGTAGCGCTGGTAGAGCCGCTCCAAGTCTCGGGACTTGAAGGCGTTCCGCAGCGTGGGGAAGATGACGCCCCGGTACGTGTAGCCCCAGTTCAGGAAGAAGTCCGAGTTGCTCGGCGCACAGTCGATCTGCAGGAAACCCAGGTCGCTGCTGGCGCGTTCCGGGAACACTTTAGTCCCGCCGTTGTTGTGCCGGTCTCCTACCGATGTCCGCCCAGCGGAATGCTTCCGCGCGCCATGGTCGTAGGACTCGTCCGATCCGATGCCTTTCACCCCTCCCTGCTCGTGGATGAACCGCTGCTCGGTGATGTGCCGCACCGCGTTCTGCCACAGCAGCCGTTTGGGTCGCGCGCTGCCGCTGCCGCTGCTGTTGCTGTTGTTGCTGCTGCTTGGCGTCTTGTTGATGGTGTACAGCTCCTCACTGGCGCTGGAGCACCGGACCTCGGACAGTTCCATCACGGCTGCCGCTTGTTGCTACTGTTGTTATGGTCTATGTCTCCAAACGGATTTGTCGGTTGTCAATTAATTCAGCGATTTTTGGCAGACGACGTCCTCTCGTGCGCATCGAACCTGGAGCGCGTGCTTCTCTCTCGGGTTGCGGCGAGCACGGCACGGGGTAAAGCGCGGTTGGAGGTCATTGTCACTCTAAGTATCCCACTGAAAAAAACAGCCCCTGAATCCGACTTGAGTGGAAAAGCATCTCACGGATAAACCGTGTACCATCTTGGCCATGTACCGTGTCTCTTTGCTGAAAGCTAAAAACCACCGGGCGGTGTGTCCACAAGCCACCACGCACCTGCCGTACGCACCATCGGGGTTTCGCTGCCTCACTGAGAGCCGGGATCCGTGAAAACAAGGCGGAGGTTCGAGGTGCCACAGGCGTCAGGGCGCAGCTCTCGGAAACGGCAGGAAATGTGACCTTTAAATTAAACCCCAAGAATGCTCGTGCGTCGTTGGCACAGCTGGACTGCTTTACTTTGCCATTCGTTCCCTATTTGCGCATGCCGATGAAGAGCAAAAAGCAACGTTAACTTCCCTTTTTCCCAAACGTCTTAAAAGATGCCACACACAGAGAAATCCGATGAGGTCGGCAGGCGACAGAAAAGGCCAGAAATGACCCAAAAATGTATCGACAGAATCCGTTTCCTAAACAAACGCTATGGTCTGCACGAAGCCAGGGACAATTCAAAAATGTCAACTTGCTGTTGCTCGAGAGGCTCCGGGATCAGTGTCGAGTGCGCGGATCAGCTCTTCTTTTCTGCCTCTTAACCGACACGAGGGGCTCGCGCGGGGATGCAACACCTGGCTGAGGGGGGCCGGGGGGCAGCGATGAGCAGTGTCAAGACCCTCAGCGGTCCGCCACCGGTTTTCTGTTTGAGTCACCGCGGCTCGTCTCCATGGAAAGTATCCAAAATGAAGTGCTGTATGTCCCCGTGCTGTGGGCGATGATGACAACGGAGCCTCCCTCCTCCTCCTCCTTCCTCCTCCTCCCCCTAAGAGCCGTCTCCCCGCGTGCGTCCCCTCGGTTTCCCCTCCTTCCTTGTTAGTCCTCCTCCTTGGCGTTTAAAAGGGCGTGCGGCAGCGGCCGCGTGGAGTAGACTTACAGAGAGCGCGAGGCTGGTCAGCGAGGAGCACGGCGGAGCGAACGAGTCAGCTGGTCTCCGGTTTGACGTCACACTCACCTCTGTTCGTGTGTACATGTATGTGCGCTCCCGCGCTTTCCTCGTCTTAATCCCACGCTCTTCTCCTCCCTTTGTCGTCCGTTTCCCCCCTTCCCCTCTCTCTCACTCCTTTGTCCACCTCTCTTCATCTCCAAATGGTTCTGCCTTTCTTCGGATCTTTTTTCCTCACCCTCCCTCTCCATTTCACTTATCCCTTCTTTTTCTCCACTTTCTTCTGCTGAGTTGAGTTTCAGTGAAACTGCAGACGCTTGTGCAGACGCGTTGTTCGATCAGTGCTTGAGCATAACAGTATTTTAGGCAACAGAGCCCCTCCAGATTTTTGACAACAATTTGAGGAGCCCTTCTGCTGTACCAGCAAGGCTATGCCCATAGATGGTTTAGTGAATGGGCCTGAGATGGGATGAGAACAGAGAAGAAAAGCTGAAAAAAGCTGACGTCACCCACTGGGTGAACCCACTGAACATTCAAACCAGCAGAGAGGCTGAAAGATGACCAAAATCACAGCTCAAAAAGTATGAAGGAAATCAAAAAGCTGAACTCAAGATTACAAAGTTTAGTCTTTGGACTGAAGTAAAGTTTAAATGATGTTTCTAGCCCACAGTATGACAAAGCAGGAAGGTGAGACAAGAGGAAGATGCAGTTTTTTCCCACTGAAAATCATTATTCAAAAAGTTGAATAACACAAAAAGTAGAAAAGTTACACAAAAAGAACATAATAGCACAATTCTGCCAAAGAACATTTTAAAGCTTGAATCAAGTTTCCAGCACAAAGCATCTAGAAGGACATAGCGACCAAAATAAGACGAAAAATATACAAAGAGCGAAGAGAACATAAGCTGCTCCATCCGCTCCTGCAGCTCATAAATGTGGGAAGCAAGTAGCATGAAAAGGCTTCCGTGAGGCCTTGGACCCTGAACCCGCTGGATGTGAGGCAACAGAGCCGACCACTGCACAAACTCACAGCTGCTTGTGTGGGCCTTTCTTTCTTTCAACCCTCTGTCTAACCATCTCTAGCCATGTCTTCGAGCGCCCAGATGTGATGCCAAAGGACCAAACTGTAAAAACTCAGCATCAAGTAGCACGGAGTAATGTACACAGTCATGAGGTAAGGTATGGAGTACTCAGGTCATCGACGGGGCTGAGCAGACGACAAGACAATAGTGATTTCTCAAAGTTCAGGTCGATTTTCACTTTGAATACTTTGAATTTCTTTGCCTCTTTTGTACAAATTGTACTGCAAAAAAAGTGTGTATGTATTAAAGTATCAAGGCTTTCCGGAGCACACTGGACTAGATTGGGTAAAATGATTCCCTTCTAAACCTTAAAGGAGGTCCTTATGAAGAGAAGCAACCCCCACTTTGACTCACTCAAGGCTCCGGGCCAGAGGAAAGTTGCCTCATTGCCATTCAGTTTATTTTTAGCCTCCTTTCATCTGCCGTGTCTCTAGTGCCCCTTTTTCTGCTGATTCCCAAGAAAGAATTACTGAAATCTTTCCCCAGACTGAACCTCACTGCATGATATCAAGCACCAGTAAGAGCTGGCTATTATTCAATATGCCCTTTAACTGTCCCTATAAGTAGGGTATCATAACCGATGCTACAGTTCCCACATCGCAGGACTCAAAGCTTCAGGGGGCGCTGCTCCAGAAAGACAAGATGCAACAGACGAATGAAGCTGCAGGTCAGAGAAGCTCAGCAGACAACGAACACTGCATGTCTGCAGCTCCTGTCTGACATTTCCAACAAGGAGTATAAATAAAATTTACTGCTGAATAATCTGTTTACAGTCAAATGTAATATGTGACCTTATCAAGTCAGTTATCTGGTAAATCCGCTCTCATTACTGTGCAGTCCAATGGCCTTTATCAATCAATCAATCAATCAATCAATCAATCAGTTAGTCATGAATGTTATTACCAGGTATGTTAAAATACAAGGAATTTGACTCCAGCTCAATGGCCTTTGATGTGCAGCAAATAAAACAGAATCCATCCATTGTCTGTCCTGAACAGGGCCGCGGGGGGTGGAGCCAAACCCAGCTGACTCTGGGCGAGAGGCGGGGTCCAACCTGGACAGGTCGCCAGTCTGTCACAGGGAATAAAACAGAATAAAAAAGCAAAATAACAAGTAAAAAACAACAAGACAGCCATCTCTGTGTACATATCTATACAAGTTAAAAAATGATTCATGGTTCCTGATTTTTTTTTTCATAACAACATCATGAATTGATAATTCAACCAGTTATCAGCTGTTGTCATGCACTTAATTCTACTCCAGAAGGGGGACACTGTACCCACCAGTAGGCAGGATGATGCATACCACTGACACATGTTACAGTTAGATGACCTGCACAGCCACAGCTGAGGTTTGGATAGGCGCAGGCAATCCACAGTACCGGTCAGGTTTAGGAAAACAAGGGTGTCATGATTAAAAGAAACCAGCTTTGACTGAAGGTGAGACCAAATTCTGTTATATCAGACTTTATGCCGTGCTGCCATGATTTGTTTGTAAGATGCTGTGTCCTCTCCCCGTGCACGAAGCCTCGTGTCCAGCTGTGGCCTCTGCACTAGCACATCTTAACATGATTAATGCACACCGCAACTC